GAATGGGAGTTACCTGTTGGACCCAGATTTCTGACCAGTTAATTATGTAAATGTATGTAGCTGCTGAGCTGGGACTCTTCCTACCCCAGCAAAGCTTGCTGATGGCAGGTTATGTCAACAAGCATAGAGCTAACTGCATCTTAACTCACTTTCTGAATTGTTTTGCCTGGCTTCTTTGAACAACTTAAAACTTTATCTTGGTATCTCTTCTGAGGGTTTTTTCCTCTTTTTTTTTTTCATGGTCACTGTTGAGAACAGACTGTGACACCATAAACACTGCTGTCACAGGAGTCTTGGAGTTAAAAATCAGCAAGTCAAAAAGGAACTCTGAAAACACAACTGGCTATGGAAGCCAGACATACTACTTCTTAGTTGGGATTTCTCAGGTGGTTAGAGCTTGAACAAGAACAAAACCATATGGTTTTTAAGTGTGTGAGGCAAATGATGAGAGTTTTGCTTTTCAGCAAAAATTGATGGAATGAAAGGGAGATACCTTGCAAAATCATAATATCCTGAAGGGTACGTTAGTGTGGAGGCAAGGAGACCACTTGCATCATCTTTGAACAAGTATTAAAGGGAGAATACCCCTGTCATCAGGAGTAGTGATATAATTAATTCCCAGAAGACTACAGGGTCAGCCTGTGGCAGTGTGCCAGGTTCTTAGCAGTGCTCAGCCTTCCAAAATGCTTAGCTTCTCTCTGGACTTCATGTGAAGTACTCAGCTTTGTGTTTTCACTCACAGAAGCAGACTAGGCAAGAGCCTGAAGCCCCATTCAGTGGGACAGGTCACTCTCTCCTGATGCTGGATGGCTTTATGATGGCAGTGGATGCCCTATAGCAGCCTGAAGCCCAGGAAAGTGACCCTTGGTCACCCCACCTTGTCACAGGTTGATTGACTTGAATTGGGCAATACTGTTCTTCACTGATGAGAGGTCTTGTCCCTGGTACAGGAGACCTTACTTGGAGTTGCACTTACAGAGTCTTGTGCTGTATTCCTAGGGGAAAGAGAGGGTGTTCCCATGTGATCTTTAGGATGTCCAGTGCTGCTACATAAACAAGACACTGCCACTTGCTGCAGACATGACCAGTTGCACACCATGAGTTTTTGGCTGCTCTGGTCCTGGTCCTGCTGAGACTTACACTAGGTTTACATGCTAATTTTTTGCCAGTGTAGTCAGACTGTTAAGGGCAGACTTCTTCCTTCATCCAGTGTTGCATATTGACAAAAGCTACAGCTGAAGCTAAGCTAGCAAAAAGCAAACCAGAACAAAAGTACTGTGTTCTGCTGCTAAATCAGGAAGGATTTTTTCAGTCTTGTCAAGGCTTTGTCGTCTGTTAGTGGTTCCACAGAAGCTACCAACATTAGTTGTGAGCATCTTTGTGGGACACAGGCTTCATTTTTCTGGATACAAAGCCTTACCTAGTTCTGCTCCATCCAACAGAGCATCTCTGGGTGAAGGGCCTGGCCAGTGTTGTTCTGTTGTTTTAACTACTTTGCCATTCTGGTGTTGTGTCATTATGGCATTTATGTTGTCAATAATGTTCAAAACGTCTTGAGCAGATTGAAGTAAACAAGGTTGTGAGCACATATAAAATCTTCTGGTGAAAAACTGCAGCAAGACAGAAAGTTACAGGACAGAAGCCACTAAATTTATGAAACAGTGTAGGCTGCAGCATTGTCCTTGCCTGTGAATTTACCCTTGCACTGATAAATGGAAGGAATTGTGTCTTGTAACTTTTGGAGTTGCTTGATATTTTTTAAAGAGGAGCCTTTTGAGCGTGCACAGACTGTCATTTATTTCATTTTATTCTCTAATAAATAACAGGCAGTTAATAGTGGATGGGACAGGTAAAATGTTGAGACACAGAGCTGGCCAGGAAGAATGCAGATTAGATTTTAAACTGGCTGTTGGAGCAGGTGTCTGGAAGGAGAAAGTATTAGAGGAGAGTGGGAAGTGTGTGTTTTGGCATCCCAGAGAGGGGCAGGAGGAAGAGGATGGAAAACAATGTAAACCAGGGAAAGTATTGGCAGTCAAGGACAGGTTGTTCCTGGCTGTCTATAATTAGTGGCAGCCTCTCCCTGGGAGACTTTGGAAACCAGGCAGAGAAACTAGAAAGGAATGGATCAGTTGCCTAAAACATGACACTAAAATAGCAAACAGCAACTCCACAAAGTCATTAAGTAATGCAAGGAGCAGTTACATGTGAAGCATTATGTCCAGTGAGGTGTCTGGGAGGCTCAGACGGAGGGAATTGAAGATCTTGGCCATAGGGGAAACAGGATCAGAGGTCGCTGGATCCATACACGTCTCACTATCTTCTTTGTGCCCTGAGCTCATGTCAAAACCTTTTGTGATTTTGCCCCAAAATTCCTTGTCGTGGAGGACTCAAACTAATACATCAGTGGTTTGTGGGGGAAATTATGCCAAGTTTTCCCCCATTATGTCTTTGCAAGGTGAACTTATCTGTGGAAATAAGGCTATTATTAGATGGTCTTTTGGGATTCTCCATCCTAAGGAGCCTGGATGGTGTCCAAACATTCTGAAATAAAAACTTACTTATTTTTTCTTGTCTTGATGACAGGATCACCCTGTGGTACTCACTAAATTTATTGAAGATGCCCGGGAGGTAGAAATGGATGCTGTAGCCCAGGCAGGAAGAGTAAGTACTTTGCTTTTCTTTAATATTAAATTTGTTTTTCAGGATTGGAGATTTGCAAAAGTGTGTGATTTAAATGATTTACTGTATAGCCATGGATCCATGCTGAGAAGAGTGGAGAAACAAGAAAAATTCATCTTAGATTCAAAACTATCGTGCTTGAAAAGCTCCACCTATCTTATTGTATACACCCAACCAGTTATTTTCTTAGGCATTGCTATCCATGTGAGTGAATCCTTTAGAATATATTTTTTACTGGATCTGCAAATCACTGGCTTCAGGAATTACTTTCATCAGAATTGTAGCAGCATGTGTTAGGGTATTACCACAGTTGTTTTACTATTACAGCTTCACATTCTGTTTCATTCCTCAGCAAAGACAGTTCTCACAAAAATATCACAAGCTTCTCAATTAACAGAAATACTCTGTTTTCAATCTTCATTTTTAACAACAGTCTTAATCACATTTTTGGTATTGAGCTAGTGTGCCTTGTTGTGGTACATTCAGTTTAAAACCCTGGGCCTGAATTTCCTCTGCTTGCTTTCTCCATGATAAAAACACTGCAAGAGTGGGGAAAAAATAATATTCCAGTGATGTTGGTCCATGCTTGTTTCTGTGGAGCAATGACAACTTTTTTTGTGTTCTGGTAAGGAGAATTTGGAGAGCTGGTTGAAAGCCTACTTACCTTTTACCTTCTGAGTCAGTGTGTGCTAGGAAAGAAGCCTTAGGGTCTCCAGGCTGTGGCAGCTTTTATCATGTTCGTGATTTGCTTAACCGTGCTATGAAAGACATTAATGTGGTCTTCTTGTTCATGTGTCTTGTGTCTACTTCAGGCCTATTCTTCCCCAAATCTTAGGAAATTCACTATTTCCCCCTCCCCCCTTTCCATATCCTTTTTTAGATATAGCTCTGTTCAGGAGATTGGGATGGACTGAGGATAAAGGAGCAGTTCATGAGAGAGGGCGAGATGACTAACTGCTCTCTTGTTATTGTATGCAGGTTATTTCACATGCTATTTCAGAGCATGTGGAGGACGCAGGGGTTCACTCTGGAGATGCTACCCTCCTGTTACCCACACAGACTATTAGCCAGGGAGCCTTGGAGAAGGTAAGTGTTGCACTAGCACTGAAAAGAGAAAAGGAAATGAGAGTTTGAATCTGCTTTCCTCCCATCACCAATGGGTTTTTAAAGGCCAGTGTGATATGTCAGGGTGTCCCTGGGATTGGCTGGATCATCTGAACTGTATCCCAGTAATTGAAGCAGTAGGTGTGCCCATTCTTAGATCCATTGGGGTTTTTCATTTCCTTGGTTTAGAACCAGCAGTAGCAGTGTGCTGGTTTGAAAAGCAAACCGGTGAGAGACTCTGAATCAGAAGTACAATTTAATATGAACAACACAACAAAACAACACAAATGCAACAGTACAAAAAAATGTAACCTGACAGAGTCAGAAAATAACCTGACACCCTGTCAGTCAGGGTGTAGTAGTAGTCCGATGAAATGGTGGCTGCAGTCCTCCTGGAGTGATGGGTTTGTTGGAGCAGTGATCCCGCAGATCCGTTTCTCTCCTGAAGGTCCAGCAGCAGCTCTTGTC